AAAGTGAGAAGTGAGTTTCTTATAAAGAAGCACTTCCAATGCTCACAATGTTTTCTTCCTAGATAGTAGCTTAGCCGTAAAATAGAGATGGGAGATTGATAGTTTGTTGTGCCTATGGATTTAGTAGTTTATGGGTAAACCATGTAAATAACTTTGTATTCTTGAGGTGTCTGTTTTATATGATTTATTTATAATATTATATTTTGTACTCTCGTAGATTTTGTTTTAAGCCAGTTAAGTATACAATTTTTGTTGGGTCCAACTTATGGGGTTCATGTTTCTGCATATAACAGGGTTCTTAAATCATAAAAAAGTGGATGATAAAATATTTATTGGAGAAAAACAATAATGTACTCGTTTCCAAGTAGACCACACGAGCTTAAATTAATATTTGTCCTCCATTCACATAAACTATTGTATATAGCTAACAGATTTATTTTCATGATACAATGAAACAAAAGATCTAAAAATAATCGCACATACAAGGATAGAGAAATGTGGAAAGCATAGGTAATTCTTTTTTTTATAGAGCGAAATTCTTTTGTAAAGAGATATTGTTACAAAAATGTATATATGTTTGAAAGTTTTGAGTCGTTTATGTAGAGAGCGTCTAAATGTTCTTTCAGTTGTTGGAACATGACCATTCAATGTAATTGTTCATAGATGAATCATATCTTTTAACTGTTAATTGTCAAATTTTGTTGCAACGATTCACAAATCCAGTTTGCCAAAGAGCCACACTTGTTCATTTTTTAATTTCCAGATTACCAAAAACAAGTCGATGTGGGAAAAACCGCAGCAAAAAACTACTTAGCCATAACTACTGCCAACCCTTGACCAACGTCTAAGTCATGGTCATGCCCACAACCCTGGCTAAAATTATTTGCTAAGCACGAAAGTATGCATCATATGCTATTATTTTAAATTTTATATTTAACATAAACTAAAGAGATTGTATACAATGAGACCATTTATATACGGAATTACCAAAAAAAAAAAGACCATTTATCTCTGGTACTGGAAGGTCACAATTACTTATAACCATCCGATGTGAAATTTAATAGCTTGAGTGTGCAATAAAGTTTGAAAAAATTTCTTTTGAGCTTTGAGCTTGGACAATGAAATAAATGCAGCCACCCAATTTCACATCCAATGGACAAGATTAATTGTGGCCACTTTGTACCAAAGGTAAATGATCCCAATATTTGCTACTATTGTTGCCCCTCTAGATTTGCTGTACGCTAGAGTTTGTAGGATTTTCTAGGGTCTTTGAGTTTTTCTCAAGGCCGAAAAAATCCCCTGACTATTGTAGATTAACACCTAAGATAAGGTTAGCTTAGTTATAGGTCTTCATGAGCCCTATTGTGGAGCTTGCCTTTGGGTGTCCAATGTCTTATATTTGTGACGATATATAGTTTCCTTGGGAAGGTGTAAGTGCCAAATTTCTCCAACACCTACTTCGTAGCTTTCCTATTTTCCACATTCTCCTTTCATTTGATTTTTCTCATCTTTGGCTTTTGTTTTCTCAATCTTCTAGACCCAATTTTTTGGTCGTTGTTTGTGCACCAACGCCTGCTTGTATGCTTGTATGCTGGTATGATCATTCTTTGGTTAGAATCAGTCGAAAAAATAAAAATTGAATAAAAATAATAAATAAATAATAATAAAATATGTGGGAATTTGGTGATAGATCACGTGGTTCCACAATGTTAAAAAGTTAGATGAGAACCCTTCGGTTCGACCTAGAACCATGGACATTGTGTCGGTTCCCTTAATATATCTAGAATTGCCGGATTTCAGAAGGGAATAGCGGATTCTTATCATAGAAATCTAATTCCTGTCAGAGGAATCGACAATTCTTTGTAGTAGAGCCATTCATTCTCTTTTGGTACCAAAAATAGAAAATTGCAAGTTTTAGTTTTTTTTTTTTCTTGGCTTTTTCAAACCAATAATTGACACCAATAACATAAATGTAGTTATAAGAAGCCCTATATAGAAGGTAAAATTCATCTACATACTTCCAATCGAATTTTCTTACCCAAAATTGTGAAAAAAAGCAGCTTCAATTTAGAACCAAATTCTTTGAAATTTGATAATAAATGTAAGTAATCAAACCTTCTACAAGGAACTTGTTTTAATTTTTATGATTAACCAACATAATTGTGTCGATCTGCCCAAAAAATCCTCGGGTTCTCATGCATTAGTATTACAGAAATAGTGAAATCCGTCGAAAATTGAAGAGGGTGTCTTGAAATCAAAGTTGGCGTTCGGATATAGAAGCGTATATATTTCTTATGCAAGAGGGAAATATATTTATGAACTTATTTTTTCTTTTTACATTGACTTTGCTCGAAATTTATATGTATTGAGGTTTCTTGAAATCTACCTCAACATGGATTTCCTCTTCAATATTGAAGCAAATGGTGAAATTTGGTTCAAATGAATCGATTGAATCTGTTTACGATTATATTTCTCCAATTTAATGGATGTACTGATTACTATATAATCTAGCTCAAAATAAGTTTGGTTTTAGGGTTTCCTGATTCGTTCTATTTTATTGAAAAACTTGTCAATAAAGTATTATATTTTTCTTAGGGATTTTGATGCATATGCTGTAATTTATAAGGTCTATGTTATATTTTCCAATTTTTTCTAACCTATATTGATTTTACTTCATGTTGTACTTTTTTTTATAAATAAATTTCTTAAAAATTGTTATTTATGATTTATTACAATAGAGTGTAAGTGAATAATACCTTTTTAGAAAGTATTATAGTGTCAAGTATGATTATATAAATTTATTTAATTTTTAAATTGGTCTTATTATATTCGGGCTAGGAGCGCAACAATTTACCAAGCCTGAGGGATTTGGATAAGTCAAATAGATACTAATAAGGCAGTGTCGCACATTGAGCAATTCAGTGAATTGTATGATCAATTCAATGAGTGGAAACAACGTGATCAAGAAGAAGCAGAGCAATGTTGATTTCATTTTGGCATTAGTTTTGCATTTTCAAAATTGTATGCTTTATTTTAAACCGTGTATTCATAGTCATAATGATTATATACGCCTTTGTTCATGTAATTTCAATATAATGGTCAATAGACGTTCATATAGGGAAATGATATCTCAATATTTACGTATTTTTGTAATACAATGAAAAGTCTATAATGCGCCACCCCTATTTATTTGGATTCTTTTTTTTTTGGGTAAGTGGAGAAGGCCCCCTAACCGATTTTCATTAATAATAGATAAGAATAAAAACAATGCATTATTTTACAACTCTATGGTAGGACAATTGCGTAAAGTCATGAAATAACATCGTGGAAATAAAATTTGATGCCGATAGCACCTCACAGTAGCATCAGAGCTAGAAGATGCTCTCTTAGCAAGGGCAGCAGCTACTATATTCATCTCGTGAAAGATATTGAAATGGACCACATGTGGGCAGAAAGCGTGCTCCGACAATTGGCTACGACCGTCTGTAATTTTCAAGGGGCACGAAAGCGATCTTGGATGACATTTACCACCAAAGACGAATCACTTTCTTTCTGGAGGGGAAAACAACGTTCATGTATAGCGAGTTGGATACCATCTTCAAGAGCCAAGAATTCTGTTTGATTATTAGAAGAAATACCAAAGGGCTTCACAAATGCAGCAATAAAACCTCTAATACTATCTTTGATAACACCCTAACCCCAGGTTCTGTATTGAGGCGTCGTCTATATTCAACTTGCAATTCTGGTCGTTAGGAAATGACCATGCTATTTGAATAAAAGATCTGGATTTTTTATGGCGCCAGGTGATCTTAAAATTTTCAATAATTGCCCATATTCGACAATAATTTTCAATAATTGCCCATATTCGACAAATGATATGTCTATTTTTTGACATGAGCTAACTCCTTCACATGTGAACAGATACGCTTGACAACTTGTTCCCTTGTTGTAGATCTTGATTGAAAATTTTTCATATTTTTTTCATCCCATAAAAACTAAATTGTTGTGAAGAAGGTAGATATCCAAAAAATAATGTGTAAATTTTTATATTTTTTTTAAGCCCAAATCGAACGGATCCGCATGATCCACCAACTCGGACTGCCGATCCCAACTAGTTTTGTGGACGGGCGACATGGGTAACCGATCTATGTTGTTAAATACGGGCCTAATAGAATAGTCTTGTTCCCGATATCAGTTTCCAACCTTGATCCCTGTTTTTCCTTATTCCCGGTATCAAATAAAAAATCTACTTACAGCATTGAGTCATCAAATAGTCAAGAATTTGGGGACTGATATTTCGTCCTAGCTGCTTCCCCTGTTTGTTTCATCACAAAAGCAGACCCCAATGAGAGCAGAATTTCTGCAAATTTGGCGTTCCATGAGAAAGCAGGCTCATGCCTTGCTAGGTATGGATGCGATTTCTCAAAAATCTGTCTCCCAAAAGAGAAATTTCCCATAAACCAGTACACCTTGATGGCAGGTTTGGTTCATGTCAAAATATTTTAAGCCTAAAATATTCTCTTATGCAGTTAGGTGTAAAAATATTTTTACACCACTCTAAAATAGTGTAAAAAGGTTTATTGAAATTAATTGATGTGAAAATATTTTCACATCTAGCCACATAAAAAATATTTTTGTGTGAAAATATTTTCACTTTCACGAGAACCAAACGTTCCTTGAGTGATTCGGGCCATGGGACCAAATAAACAATTTGTTCCCATCAGACTACAAAGTCCATTTCCAACTTTCTATTAAAAAAAGCACCCCAGAAACGAACTAATGTCCTCTTTAGAGGGTGAACAACGGACCAATGTAGTGGGCCCATGGTGTTTACCCGGACTCACCAAAGCCAGTCACGTCACCGTTGTCTACCACGTCATCAGATGGTAACCACCATGGTTAGACTTAGCGTGGGTTAGGGTTAAGTTCTGGTCAAGGGCAAAGCAGGTATTAAAAGTGTTTAGGAGGCCCAATCAGTAAACGAGGACCCACGCCTCTGCTCTATTTCTTGAGAGCCCATCACCTCTCATCAATTTTATCGCGGAGACACCAAGCCCATGTTTCCGCTTCCCTCTTTTTACAGAGAACCACTGCTACCTCTGCCATGATTCTCCATATTTGTATTTTAAATGCTCCATTTCTGCAATTTCTTTCCATTTTCGTAGCTTGAAGGCTCCATTTCTGGATTCTTCTAGTTTCGAGAATCGCTGATTGCTTCTTGGATTGGAGCTCAAAAGCCATTGAAATCGCCGATTTGATGCTATATATGCTGCCTTTTTTCTTATTAAGAGCTTGAAGCCTCAGGGAATGACGATTATTTCGTGCTTTGGAGCTTAAGGGGACGGAAAATCGACTGTTTGAGTAAGAGGAAAACTGCTATTTCTGTAATATTCTTCCTTATATATATATATATATATACAGCTTAGTGCTTGAGGAATTGACGATTTATTCGCGTAATAAATCTTTAAATACGAGTAATTGCCGATTTGTCCTTTTATAGAGGGAAAGAACCTGGAAATCTCCGCCGCTTTCTCTGTACTATAGTTCTAAATATAGTTTGAAGACACGGAAAAATCGCCGATTCGTTTGTGTAAGCCTTTTTAAGTGGACGAGGATAAGAGGCCGAGTAAGTTAATTTTTACTGCCTGCCAGTGCTTCAAAAAGGCAAAGCTCTTATGAATCAGAAGAATTTGGTGTTTGGATAAGTATCCAAGCTGTAGAGCTTCAGTTTCTTATTATAATCTTCAGATTAGGGCAAAAAATCAATCCTAAGGCAGTGATTTTTGTTTGATATATGTCCAAATAGGTCATCTTCTAAAGATTTTGTTTAAAGTGGGCTTAATCCCCGAATCTCACCATGGCTTCCGGGAAATCTTTGTAAATGATCGGCCATTTTTACCATAAAGGATCAGGAATCCATTAAACAGCCATCGGTTCCCTCTAAGAAGCTCTGGTTTTTGCCATTTGTTCACAGAAGCCCTAATTTTTTAGTTCAAGAGCAGAGAAAATGGGGAATTGTCAAGCCGCTGAAGCTGCAACAGTAGTTATAGAACATCCTGATGGTAAAATACAGAGGATTTATTGGTCAGTGAGTGCTAATGAGATCATGACTTTGAATCCTGGCCATTACGTTGCAGCGATCACGGTTTCCCCTACTGCTAAGTCAGAGAATGGGGCTCCTCTGAGGCAGCTGAAGCTTCTGAGACCTGATGATACCATGCATATCGGCCATGTTTATCGCCTCATCAGCTTCGAAGGTGTGGAAATGAGATTCTGATGATTTCTTCTTTGGTTTTCTTTCGCCTTTACTGATTATAGGTTTCCTTTTTCTCATTTCAATAGTGTTTATTCGTTTTTCTTCATGTTTCTTCGTCTGATTCATCTCTATTTTATACTTTCGACTATCATTTTTATCATCATCTTCATGATGCGTTCTGTGTATATAATGCAGAGGTTTTATCTTTAATTGTAAAATTTGAGTATTTATTTCGTGTGTACTTTGTGTGAGACTTTAAGCAAACATTGGAATTGCTTTGCAGAGGTTTTGAAAGAGTTTTCGGGGAAGAAGTACGCGAGGCTTAGCAGGCTGCTATCACTGCAAAAGAAGCCCAGATCGAACGGTGGAGGTGAAAGGAGGGAGACCTCTTCCAGGTCCGATTCTGAAAAATTACCAAAGGTAACTCTCTCTCTCTAAGTTCGGTAAATATCTCTCTCTCTCTCTGTTAGTTCGGTAAATCTCTCTCTCTCTCTAAGTTCGGTAAATCACTCTCCCTCTCTATAATTTGTTCTGTCGTGCTTTCGTTGAAATGTGCAAATTTTCTAAATGCACTGTTTTCTCCAGAAGTTTACATTTGAAGCCGTATCTGTGGTTTTGACTCAAAATTTCTGTGTGATCTTGTTTTAATATATTCATGAAAAGTTCATGAAAAATATTATAAATTCGTGAGAGGGTAGCCTAGCAATTTTGGTTGAGTTTGAATTTTGAAAGGTTTTGATGTCTTTTGAGATGTGCAATGGCGAAATGCATAAAGGGAATCTTTCATGTGGGGAAACCCCAAAGCCGTGTTCTGAGCCCTCTGCAAAAGACGCTCCACGAGCCCTTCTCCCCTGTCATAAATTTTTCCTTCTGTCAGAAATTTTTCTTCTCTGCGTCTTCTTTTTTTTTTTTTGGAAAATAGTTTGATAGGGCTGCAGCCCTATCAAAATAAATAAAGCCTCGCCGGATGGACTCAAGGAAAATTGTAATTCAAGCATCGAATAAACTTTACATCAATCATCTCAACTTGAACATTAGGGTTGTGAAAAAATTTAGGATTTCAAACTCTAAAAAATGGTGTATAGTACAAATTATCTAGATCTTCTATTTCTCCCTAAAAAATAAGGTGTTCAAAGATCCATAAGATTTGTATGATTCTTTTGAGTTTTATTTTTTATTATTGGTAGTGGAAATTAATTTTAGACCCATGTGGCTGAAAGTGCTTTCCAAACAAGGACTTAAGGTGCGCATTTCTTTGTTTCTACATACCCTGTGCCTTATAGAAACTTCATCTAAAAAAAGTTTATATAAGGTTGTAACCATATAGATGTACGGTGCACCATCCCGTGGAGGGCGTTGAGGTGTTGGAGATCCTCTGAGTGATAAGTGATCATCATGACATCTAGATGAATGGACATGGAAAAAAAAAAAATTTTCAGTCCGAAAAATTATGCATCTAATAAGTTATTTGGACGGTCAATTTTTGAGATTTTTAAGCATTTCTTGATTTGTGCGATCTGTACAATTTTTGAAATTTTAAATTTTATATGAAAAGGGATTTTGGAGCCATATTAGGGTTTTCCACGCTGAAAGGATATTCTAAATAAATTTTATAGGTGCGCCGTATATCTAAATAAATTTTATACGTGCACCATATTTTCTGGGATAAAACCAGCTTTTTTTTCATTAAATTTATAATGGGAAAAGTTTATATAGAGCCGAAGCTCTAAACAATCAAATTAGAGCCTATTTCAAAAATTTCATTAGAAGAGGTCATTTTGATATCCAAATATCCTCAAATTGGTCATCTCAACATCATGGACATGATAAAAAAGGATTTCAAGTTTTGGAAATAATGTATTTTGTAATGCATTTTTGGACGGTCAATTTTTAAGATTTTCAAGTTTTCATAAATATGTCAATCTACACTATTTTTTAAGTTTTAAACTTTATAAATAAAAATCAAAATACATTTTAAGGCAATCACAAAGATTTCTGGTATTGAAATCGCATATTTGGACTCCATTTGAAAGTATGCTCTAATTTGGTTGTCTAGAGCCTAGGCTCTATACAAACGGCACCCATATATAATAAACAAAGGATAAAATGAGTCCTGGAGTTGGAAGTTCCGAATATGGGTTGTTGGCTCTAGCCTTCTTTTCTCAATGCCAAGTATGAATGATCCTTTTGGAGTTTAATAGCAGAGCTGCTCTCTATAGAGACGGATATCCGTCATTTTCCAGGTTTCTATATCATTCTCTGTCAGATTCATCGTCATTAATTCTCTCTGTCCGTTTTAGGTAGCTCCTTTTTGGATTGGGTGATGTTCGTAAGGCATTTCTATAATGTAGAAGTAATGTGCACCTCTAAAATTTGATTGGAGATGTGTTTTTGGTGTAGAAACCATATGATGGTTTGAAAATCTATCTTCTTCCTTAGCTATGAAATTTAAAAGGATGAGGTTTCTATAAGACCTATGCTTTATGAAAGGAAAATAAAGCCTCACCTCAAATCCTAGTTCAAAAAGTAAGAAAGTACTTTCAGTAAAAAAAAAAAAAAAAATTTTCATGATGGCTCTAAAATTGATTTTCAACACCAACAATAAAATTTTAAATTAAAAACATGATATAGATCTTGCATATGTGTAAACATTTATTTTTAGGGCGAAATGAATGGTCTTGATACTTTGTTATAGTATATACTATTTTCAGAATTTGAAATCTTTTTTTTTTTCACAACCATAATGATCAAAGTCCATATCAATGTAAAGGTTTTTCAATGCTTGAAATTGTAATTTTGGATGAGTTGTGAAGTGAGGCTTTCCTTGTTTTGCAGCTCTATCAAACCATTTTCCAATTTAAAATTTTTAAACATTACAAATAACATAAATTCATAAACACTTGAAATAGATGGTTCAATTAATTTGTCACATGATGAACCATTCATAGGACTTGAGTTTTTTTTTTTTTTATATTTACACATCTAAGGTTGAGATGATCAATTGGAGGGCTTTCCAACGTGGGAACACTCCCTTCTAGAAGACTTGAGATGTGCACCTTACTTCAATAGCAACCTTATATGGAATGACCTTTTACCTTTACAATTTGAGAGAGAGCCATTTTTACGGGCTAGTAAATTATAATACTGGGACTTTTGGATCTTTGGATTTTTCAATCTTGGCAAAAGTCAATCTTGGAATTGAGATTTCTTGAAAATGTCAATTTCTTGTTTGGATAGCGTACGATAGAAATCAACAAGATGGAAATTCCCTGTTTGGATTGTATTGTCTGAATGTCTCTTTTTTGGAAATGCAAGTTCTCTCTATCTCACTCTAAAAATTTTGAGATAGTTGTTCTCTAAAATATTAATACACTCTTTTAAAAACCTAAAATTTGAAATAATTTCTCTCTAAAAATTTTGAGATAGTTTCTCTCTCTAAAATTTTTATACTCTTTCACTCCTTAAAATTTGATATAGTTTCTTTCTCTAAAATTTTGAGATACTCTCTATCTAAAACTTAAAAATTTGAAATGGTTTCTCCATAAAATATTTGAGATAGTTTCTCTTTCTAAACAATTGTAGATAGTTTCTCTGTCTAAACAATTTCAAACAATTTCAAGTAGTTTCTTTCTTTAAAATATGATATAGTTTCATTCTCTGAATTTTCAAAGTACTTTCTCTATCTAAAACTTAAAATTTGAGATAGTTTTTTTCTAAAAATTTTAAGATAGTTTTTTTCACTAAGAAATTTTAGGTACTTTCTCACTCTAAAATTAGATATAGTTACTCTTTTTAAAATTTTAAGATGTTTTCTTTCTCTAAAACTTAAAATTTGAAGATAGTTTTCTATTTAAAATTTTTCAAATAGTTTCTCTCTAAAAATTTTAGGTACTTTCTCTATCTAAAATTTGATATAGTTTCTCTCTCTAAAATTTTTAAGATATTTTATTTCTCTAAAATTTAAAATTTGAGATAGTTTCTCTCTCTAAAATTTTCAAACAGTTTCTCTCTAAAATTTTAATATACTTTTTCTCTTTAAAACTTAAAATTTGAGATACTTTTTCTATCTAATTTTTCTTAAATAGTTTCTCTTTAAATATTTCAAGTACTTTTTCTATATAAAATTTGATATAGTTTCTCTCGTTAAAGCTTTAGGATATTTTCTCTATAGGATATTTTTTCTATTTAAAACTTAAAATTTGAGATAGTTTCTCTCTTTACAAATTTTTTGGTAGTTTTTCTATCTAAAATTTGGTATAATTTCTAATCTTTAAAATTTTAATATGCTCTATCTCTAAAACTTAAAATTTGTGATAATTTCTCCTTAAAAAATTTTAAGTAGTTCATTTCTTTAAGTTTTCAAATAGTCTCTCTACAATTTTAATATGGTCAACCTAAAACTTTAAGTTCGAGATAGTTTTTCTTTCTAAAAATTTCATATATTTTCTCAAAAAAAAATTTTGTATCTTTTTTTTATCTATAATTTGATACAGTTTCCCTATCTAAAATTTTAATAATATGTTTTCTCTGTTAAAAATTTGATATAGTTTCTCTTGTCAAAATTTTAATAGTTTTTTTATATTCTTCAGCAGCAAAAATAGGTCATTTCTATTGAATATCAATTCTATCTATTTTGATGGATTTGAGATTTCTAAAATTTTGGCTTAAATGAGCGTTCAAAATTCCCAAAAAAAATCTCAATTCAATAAAAATATATCTTTTTTTTAAAAAAAACGACTTCCAAAAATCTGAATCCATATAGCCAGACGAGAGGGATATTTTCCTTTCCCCAAGCTTTCAGAATATCTGACCTTTAATATCTTCGGTAACTTGATGGACTAGATAATGTCTAGCCTTTTCCTATCATAGATTTAATTTCATGGTGCAGGAGCTGTACTCTCCATATCTATTTCTTTCCAATAAAGATTCATATATTTATTATAGGCTTTGCTTTTAAGAAACGCAAGATCCATTATCAGGTTATTAAATGCTTTTACACAGAGAACTGAGAGTAAACATTTTCTGAGAAGCTTTGCTTATGTCATATTTTCATCTTCTATTCCTGAAACTCCTGCTGTGTGATTATGAAAACACGTGGGCCGTGGCACCTTGGGATCTGAGTGAAAGCATGAGTCCTCCTCGAACACTCAACACGTTTTCCTTTGCGACCCAAAGTCGTAGTGCTCACTCGCCAACCTTGACCACCTGGCGGCCACATTTACACAACATTTTAAACTTATAGCTCTCAACTTCCAACTACCAAACGTTTACCAAACGTCGGATGGTTTTGGGGATTGTGGAAAGTAACGTTTAATGTATGCCAATGCTTTCAATTATGTTTAAATTATTCAATCCCTTTTTAAGAATGTAATTAAAGTTTTGTTCATGATAACAATCGTTAATCCTTTCTTAAAGCAACGGATATTGAGATAGAGAGAGATGAGATCCTTGGCCCTAGTTGGTTTAAGCCCGTTTAGGGTCTTAATCGTTTTAGAGGTGGAGAGAGAGGGGCATGGGCTCTTTGTTCAACGTTGGGTTATTTTTCTAAGATAAGAGATTAACTATTTATCACACATTTTTCATTGAATTTCAAAAGACTCATCGAAACGAAATATATGTGATTGTAAGTTTTAATAATCTTTTTTATAGATTTTGAATTATGAAAATTTTTGATAAAATTTTATATTGGCGTATCACAACCCACCACCTTTAATCTGGTTTGGAGCAAGTTAAAAGAAAGTTTAAGATCCTCACTCTTTTTAGATCATGTAATAGTTGAAAAAGATTAAGATCCTCACTTTTTTTAGACCATGTAATAGTTGAAAAAGGAGTAAAATGTTAAATTAACTGTTAGATTGTTTAAAAGTACTATTTATTTTAATCAATTTTCCTATAATATTTTGCTATATATATGTATATATATAGAGAGAGAGTATACATGTACGTATATGGAGATGGTTTCCTTGAATTTGCTTGTATAGCTTGTATTACCGGGTTTCGACATTTAAGAGAGAGAGAAAGGAGATATTTAACTTTTAAATACTACGTTTGTGCATTTTAGAGAGAGAGAGAGAGAGAGAGAGGAGATGTAACTAGTTGCGTAACCTATTTTGGTGCAGCCGGAGAGAGACGTGCATAAGAGCGGTACCCGTGTGGCGAGGCACGGCCAATGGCGCCCTGCTTTACAAAGCATTGCCGAGGTTGGACGCTAAGCTCCCATTTCCAATCACATAGAAAAATAAAAACCGCATCCTTTCTATCTTCTTCCTTCCCTCCCTACATTTGGACAACACTCTCCCTCTTTACTTTAATCGCACACTCTATACCTTTGATATATATTCCTGTTTGGTGATTGCAAGTACTAAAAAAACGTATTGTACCTTTGCACCAACGTGTTTGTTTGTCGTGATTTTGGCTGCGCTTTTGGCCTTCACGTGTGATTCAAAAGTGGACTGCGTTTTTAGTGAGTTGAGAGACAAATAGCCCATAATGCCCTCTCTCTAGAAAAAGATATCAAAATGCTTTCTCTCTCTATTATAATATAGTCGCCACGCTTTTCCTCTGTCTCTCTCTAAAGAGACGTTTGGCGCAGAAAGTGGGGCTTCCACTATCTTTGTCAGCGCCCAACACGCTATGAGGTGGGTTAGTGAACTCAGTGCCTTCGCTTTGTTTTTAAATTGTTATTCCAATCAATTATTTGGATTTAATTAACTAAATTATTGGTTAGGTTTGACGTAATTGGTTGGTCTAGGTTGTGATTACATAACTTTCTAGAGGACATGCATAACCGACGTGTTCCTTGCTTTCTATCGCTGGGTACGCAACACGTGTTACAAGTCAAACCAGGTGATTTGGATTGGAGCCGGTCAATCTGAATTAGAAATCAATTGGGGTGATCCAAATCCTATAAAATTAAGAATCGGCTGGTTCCCTTTATTATATGAACTACCCAATTCTGATCGATTTGTATCGATTCTCTGACAAACTGACGAAATGCTATGAATTGGCTCCTCATTGTTTTTTTTTTTTAAATCACTTAACCAATTTGGTTTCAATTGATTCTTTGATAGAATTGACGAGTTCTATTAGAGAACAACGACGGGTATTTTGGCAAAATCGACCAGTTTTGTCAAATAACCAACCAATTTTGATGCCACTTAATTTTAAATTTTTTTTTTGATAGTCAATTGGGATCACGAATTTCTCGAACAGATCAGAATCTAAATGGGCAATCTAGGTTATCAATCCGGGCAAATATTTCAAAATAAATAATTAAAAGAAATAATTTTTTTCAATAAAACATATGGTCACTTAAAACGAAGTTTTCCTATTGTGCTCGGAATAATTTTTTTTTTTAGTTTAGGATGCATGCCTTGCATTTCTGGCATTGTATGAGATTGATGCTTTATATAATTGTTTATATTTTAAAGGATGCATGATAATAAACTAACCCTTACCCTTCTTTATATAATTGTTTATATATATGAGAAAAAATTCCTGTCAGCCCATAGGTTCGTTGAATCTAGATCGATCCAATGATCACAATTGTATTTCATAATAGAATTTTAATTTTTTTTATAAATCCAAATTATTTGATATTTGAAGCGTTTATTAATCAAGAATGGTTGAATTTAATAAAAATAACAAAAAAATAATTTGTATAATTTAAATTGATTAAAATACCCTTAAAAAATTATGAGGGTATTTTGGTTAATTTTTTTTATATGAATTATTTTTTTAATATTTTTATTAGGAGCATCTTTATGAGAAGAGTTTATCCTCCAAATTTCATGTTATTTGAATTTGTATAAAAAAATATTAAAATTATATTACCGATATATTTTAGGCTTACACTGTTCTATGAGTTCACCCTAACATCT